GTGAGCCACTGCACCCAGCCAACACTCCTCTACTCCTCGGAGGAAGCTGGAATTTAATCCAGGTGTTTGGACATAAAATATCATCTCTTTTCATTGTCCGCCACCCTTTTTCTTTTTTGAGACAGAGTCTCACTTTGTCACCCTTTGGTAGAGTGCTGTGGCTTCACAGCTCACAGCAATCTCAAACTCCTGGGCTTAAGCGATTTTTTTGCCCCAGCCTCCTCAGTAGCTTCATTGTCCCCTTTTGAGAATCACCATTTCATTTCTGTAGGGAGCCACAGAAAGGGACCTCATCAATTACCCAGTTCACAGGTTTGGATCCCAGGAGAGCACAGGCAGGTCAGATGAGAAATAATAATGATTCTCACACTATTTTATTATTAGTGTTCATTTCATTGCATTCTAACAACTACCTTGTGCCAGTTAGCAATTTATAGCCTCTCAGCTCCAAATTCACTCTTCTTTTCCCTGTTTTGTGGTATTGGAGCTGGACTCTAAACGTCTCTCCTTCACCAGTTGGCACAACATTAATTTTGGTCAGTAGAGGGCGCTAGAGGAACACTGAATGGGACCAGGTTTCTCTTCCTGGTTCTCATAGGACCTCTCAGCCGGATGAACATCAGGCCAGCCCTTTGGTGGACACCCTGAGAAACTTACCCCTCCTCCTAGCAAATTTCAGCAGCCTGTAGCACCTGGGTGAAATTCTCAGTCATCCAGTGCACCATGGCTACACCTCTCCAGTGAAATCCTAACTTAGCTTGGGGTTGGAGGTGGGGTAGGGGAGTCCCACTTGCAATTTTATTCCTTCTTTGAGATCTGTTTCAGCCCTAGGGGAAGTGACTACTCCTCCTTATATTAGCTATTTCTGTGTTCTTTGGAGTTCTTTGCCCTTGGTAGTTTAAATTCCTGCTATTAGTTAACAAACCCTGTTAAAATAAATGTAACATAGGCTCAGCACCTGTAGCACAGTGGTTATGGCACCAGCCACACATATCGAGGCAGGTTCAAACCTGGCCCAGGCCAGCTGAACAACAATGACAACTGCAACAAAACAATGGTGGGGCATTGTGGTGGGCACCTGTAGTCCCAGCTATTTGGGAGGCTGAGGTGAGAGGATGGCTTGGGCCCAAGAGTTTGAGGTTGCTGTGAGCTGTGACATTAGCACACTTTACAGAGGGTGACACAGTGAGACTCTGTCTTAAAAAAAATGTAACATAAAACTTACCATTTTAAGCTTTTTTGTTGTTGTTGTTGAGACAGAATCTCGCTATGTTGCCCTTGGTAGAGAGCCGTGGCGTCATAGCTCACAGCAACCTCAAACTCTTGGGCTCAAGAGATTTTTTTTGCCTTGGCCTCCCAAGTAGCCACAATGCCCAGCTATTTGTTGTTACAGTTGTCATTGTTATTTAGCTAGCTTGGGCTGGGTTAAAACCCGCCACCCTCTGTGTATGTGGCTGGCACCGTAACCACTGTGCTATGGGCGCCGAGCCATTTTAAGCATTTTTAAGTGTGCACTTCAGTAGCATTATGTACATACAGTCACATTGTTGTACGACACTCATCACAATCCACCTCCAACACTTTCATCTTCATTTCCCACCTCTTCTAGCCCCCAGTAACCACTATCCTACTTTCTCTATGAATCAGCTATTCTAGCTACTTCATATAAGCAGAACCATACAGTATTTGTCCTTTTGTGTCTGGCTTATTCAATTAGCATAATGTCTTCAAGGTTCACCATATTGTAGCCTATATCAGTATTTCCTTCCTTTTAAAGGCTGAATAATATTCCATCGTATGGAGATAGCACAATTTGTTTATCCATTTATTCGTCAGTAAATGTTTAGATTGTCTTCACCTTTTGGCCACTGTGAATAATTGAGTTATGAATTTTGGTGTATAAACATCTGTTTGAATCACTACTTTCATTTCCTTTGGGTGTGTACCCAGAAGTAGAATTGTTGGGTTATACGGTAATTTTATATAGTAATTCTATGTTTGCTTGTTTGAGGAACTGCCAAACTGTTTTCCATAGTAACTGCATCTTTCTACATTCCCCTCAACAGTGCACATGAGTTCCAGTTTCTCCACATCCTTGCCAACACTTGTCATTTTCTAAATAATAGTCACCTAATGGGTGCAAGTAATTCTTTACATTAAACTTCTCCTATACAAATTACTGTGTAGTTTCAGTCTCCTGTCTGTAAGGACCATGAGGTGGTTTAGTAGAGATGCCCTTCACAATCTCTTCCTCCTCTTTTTTTTTTTTGTAGAGACAGAGTCTCACTCTATTGCCCTCCATAGGTTCACAGCAACCTTCAACTCCTGGGAGTAGGCATTTCTCTTGCCTCAGTCTCCCAAGTAGCTGGGACTATAGGTGCCCGCCACAATACCTGGCTGTTTTCTTGTTGCAGTTTGGCTGGGGCTGGGTTTGAACCCACCACCCTCGGTATATGGGGCCGGTGCCCTACCCACTGAGCCACAGGTGCCTCCCATCTCTGCTTGGTATGGGAACCCTTAATGTTTACCTGGGTGCGCTGACATCCAGGTGGAGACTACATATCCCAGACTCCTTAGCAGCTGATGAGATCATATGATGGAGTTCTGGCCTATGAGATGTGAGTGGAAGTGAATGGGGCCTGCTTGCCCTCCAGCAGTTCTTTTCCCTTCACTGCTGGCAGGATTACATAGGTGGTGTTACTAAAGGGAGCAACACTGTACTAGAAGCCAGCAAGGACATCGCATCGATACCTGCATGACCCACCTTTATAGAAACTGTTATGAGAGAGAAAAATAAGCTTATTTCTTGGGGTTTCTTTTCTACAGCAGCTTAACTTATACCTAACAAATATAGGTAGGAACTGATGTCATCCTAGAGGAAATTAAATAAATTAGAGATGAGAAAATTAGGGCTTGGAGATATTCTAGGGCCTTTCCACATTTCCTAAGGGAGCTATAAGAATTAGAGTCCATCTAGGAATAACCGAGGAGACAAGTGTTTCACTATGAAATACTGCCTGGATAGCCCTTAAGCATCACAAAAGATTGGGCACTAATGTCCCCAGTGATCATAGTCTACCCTATTAAAAATACAATCAGAGGCTCAGCGCCTATAGCTCAACCGGCTAAGGCGCCAGCCACGTACACCTAAGGTGGCGGGTTCGAATCCCCAGCCCGGACCCGCCAAACAACA